ATTTACCATTTGAATTTAAAAATTGTTTCCTCTGTGAAGATCTGGCTCTTACTCCACATTGTTTGTCCTCCATTTTCCACAGAATCCTGGGGAAGTGACGTCCCATTACGCTTTTTATTGACTTTGTTAACACAATTATAACAGAAAACAATGCTTTCTATTATTGCAATGAATTTGGGCTTGGAGGCTTAAAATCCTTAAACCTCAATCCATTGCTACTAATGCAATTTAAAGATGAGTCAACTGAAACATTTGAAGTGTAGATTCCTCAATGTGTGTAAGGAAAAGCCATTTGCAGGCTTGCAACAGTTATATGTTTAACAGTTAACAGTTTATATGTTTTAAATTTGATAAATAATTAAGCATGGTACAATTTGTTAAATATATTATGTCGAAGACTTAACGGTAGTCTTACTAATAATGTATTGCTCTCAAACCGCCCAGCAGAAGGCCAACAATGTATTGTATCCATCCCTGTAATTTTAAGATGCGCACATGTTAAAAGATGCAAGAATCATTCACAAAGGATTTACAGAACACTGTTAAAAGCAATACATATTGAAATTATAACAGAGTATAACTTAAAAATACGCAGAATTTCTACTTAATGGAATGACCTGACAAGCTAGAACATATCCATTTAGTTTCTGTAGGTCCGCTCAGACAGAAAAAAAAAGTTTTCAGTGCAGAGATGTATTTATAAAAACTATCACCAAAATATCCCTCTTTTTATATTGGGGGTAACTGTGAGAGCATGTACTCTTTTCCTTTTAAACAATTTTACAAACAAAAACAAAAACTAAAATTTAATATCAAGTAGGAAAAACTAGTGGTGTGCGAAACTGCATATTTTGGTATTGATCTGATACCAAGTAAATACGGGCCAGTATCAGCAATACCAATACCGATACTTTTCAATAAATAAGGCGGATGCCTCATTGAATTGCTAAATAAAACACTAAAAAAGTGTTTTTTGTGATGTTTCCTTTTTTATTATTAAATAGTTAAAACCCAGGACATAATTAGGAGAAATA